CCCGCGGGCTCAGGGGAGGCTCCCTGTGTGTGTGGGGGGGCTCCCGCGGGCTCAGGGGAGGCTCCCTGTGCGGGTGTGTGTGTGGGGGGCTCCCGCGGGCTCAGGGGAGGCTCCCTGTGTGTGTGTGGGGGCTCCCGCGGGCTCAGGGGAGGCTCCCTGTGCGGGTGTGTGTGTGGGGGGCTCCCGCGGGCTCAGGGGAGGCTCCCTGTGCAGGTGGGAGGTGAAGGGGCCTGAGGAGGGCCTTCTGCAGGTATCAAACAGCCGGTCTAGTAACTGACCGGCGCCTGCGTTCACTCTGGAACCTCCTTTGTGCTTCACCTGGGTCACAACCTCCCCTGGATGACTTCAGAGATGCTCAGGTATTGCCGTGACCATCTCCAAAGGCCAGTGCTGAGGCCAGGGGGCCCAGCATGGTCACCCCTTAACTCAGTGTGGCACAGGGACTCGCACAGGCTCGTGCTGCTGGACACGATGTCAGAGCCTCGCCCACGAGCTTGGCTCCCCCAACCTGAGCTCTAAGCCCTCGCTGGAGGCTGGTGCTGGGCACCCCCAGCACAGAGCCACGGAACGGCTGTCTCAGTCTGGGCAAGCTGGGGCCCCACTGTCGCCTGAGACCCAGCCCCAGAGATCTCAGGGCCGGGGGCTGCGTTTTCCAAGGCTGTGGCCCCAAGCGGGGTGAAGCTGTGAACGAGGGACTTTGTGGGCCGGCTGGGTCTGGTCCGCGGGCCGACCACAGTCAGGACGACTCTGGGGCGCTGGGGCCTGGAACCCCTCGAACTTCCCCTGGACACAGAAACAAAACGAAGCGACCTGGCGTCCCCCCAGCCCAAGGCCAGCTGGCCGGGAGCTGCTGGAAAGCGGACCGCACCAGCTGGCCCTGGCAGTGTGACATCGCGCGCGGGGGGCCTGAATCTCAGCCTCCCGGGGTCCAGGAGGTGGCCTGGGGGACCCCACCAGGAGCAGGAGCAGGTCTGGGTTCCACCCTGCCCCGCCGGGCGCTTGCTCGCGCGGACGACGGCGCCCCCTGGCGGCTGGCCCCCGGCCGTCCCGCAGCTGCCCGGGAGCCTCCGGGCGCGCCCCGAAACGTCCATTTTGGGCTCCGGATATTCCCATAGCGACCAGCGGGCCAGGGCTTCCCGGAGGCGTGTCCTGCGGTCCTCCGCTGCCCAGGCCGGCATCCGCGCCTGTCCTCACGCGTGGTTCTCGCTTGCGCACCCCTGCGGGAGCGCAGGGGGAGGCCGGCTGGGAAGAACTCGGGGTGCAGGAGCAGGAGGCGGGCGCCGGCGCCCCGCCCGCCGCTGGGCATCACAGGGAGAGCTGAATGGCTCAGGTTGGCTGGAGCCGTTGGCAGGTGAAGGGACCAAGCGCAGCGACGGTGAGCACCTGTCCCAAGCGCACAGTGTGAGCCCTCGGCCTTGTTCCGTGGCCAGTGTGACGGGCCTGATGCCCCGGGATGGAGTGGGGGGCCGCAGCCCCCCCCCTCCAGAGTGCAGCCTCAGAGGCCGGCGACAGTGATCTTCCATCCTGCCCCTTCCTTTGTGGCAATGGCCCAGCGGCTGAGCCCCTGGACGCCGGTCCCACGCCCCCCCAACCCGGGGCCGGGCCCAGGGGCACCCCCAGCCTCACCCTGCACCCCACAAGCCCGTCGCTCATGTCAGTGTCGCCGCTCCCTGCGCCTGCCCCCACAGCGCGGCGCCGGCTGGCCCCGAGCGAGGAGCCGTCGTGCCCCGTGGACACCGCGTCCTCCGGCCGCTTCCCGCTCCGGCCGCTAGAGGGCAGC